GCATTAGAGTTGCTTCCGATTCCGATACCAGCTTATCGGAAATTGGCTCCGATACTGCCGAAAATGCTGGCATCGGTATCGGCGAGTACTGGGAGTCCAGGCACCGATCCGATACCACGTAAGTATTAAAATTAGTAATCTATTTACTGGGGCTAGCTCCGTTAAACTCTGGTACAGTTCTTCTTTCGCCGCTCTTAAAAACAGTGGTGCTTTGCGCAACCTGCAGCTGCTGTTTTAGAGGGACGAGGAGGAATTATCACGTGACACAGACACAACAGACACACACGTGTGTCAGAGCCAGTTTGACGCGAGGCTGGAGCTAAAGCTAAGTAGCACTATCATGGTCGGTGGTGTGGTAATATTCACACTGGGAATCTCCCACCATAGACTGGCGACATGTAACGTGTGCAAAGATAAAATCTCAAGGGGTGGCACGCAGTGTTACTCATTTTAACACAACTTAAGTTTAAGTTGCTGTTGGACTACTTTTTTATACTGCTACCTTTAATTTACCAATATTGTGGCTGCACTTTAATTTAAAATATATATAATATATATCATATATATATTCCTAGATTTATTTAAGTTGCTGTTGCACTACTGTTTTTTATCCTGTTTTTATTTAAAAAAAATGGCTTGAATTTGCTGTATTTACTCATGGTTTTACAATTCATGTATTCTATTCAGGGTTTAAACTGAGCCGCCTTACCACAATGATAATCATATCACAGTCATGCAGCGTAGTATGATATATTTAACATACTGGTTTTTGATCGGTACTCGAATCGGCCGATACCCACAGCCACAAGTATCGGAATCGGTATCGGGAGGGGGAAAAAATGGTCATCGGAAACATTCTAGTAGGCATGAAACAGTTAAATATTCATACCATGTTAAACCTCACTATTGGTATTTTAACTGACTGGAGGAACTGAATTGATGATAATTTTCACAATCACTCATTTGTCACTCCCCCCAGGCTCTCCTCCAGCTGCCTACTGGATCTCTGTATGGATACAGTCTGAAGCTTCTTCGTTATGCTGACACCACCACACTGGCCAGCCTGGTTAGAGCTGACTGGACCTTCTACTCGTCCCCACCCAGTTCTTCCTGTCCACCTACTTGCCCACGCCTGCTCGTTGACTACTTGAGAAGAAACGTCGCTGGGCATCAGAAGCCAAGAGACAGCACCACCAACTTGGAGTGCTGGGCCAGTCTGTGGGACTGGTACAACTCTCCTACCTGCTCCACCCAATGCATCACTGCAGCAGGTCCCGTTCTGACCACTCAGATGGGAGGATGATCCCACTTCCTTTTTGAGCGTTTGGCTTTCCTGATCTCTTGCTCGCCATTACGTCAAACTTAGACTACATTAAAGCCCTTGCCAACTTGGAGGTTCAGAGCTGTAGGTCTGCAGGGGGGGAGGGGCTCTGGTGGAAGGCGATGATGAGACAGATAGTTCACATTCAGGACACAGAGAGCAGGGGAGCAGAGAGATTCCCCTCCTGCAGGCCCAGCAGCTGCAAAAGGCACGAGGAGATCATTGGTGCAATCAGGACAACGCAACACCACAGCTCTCTGTGTAGGGAACAACATGGACTCTGCCACTGCGGCTGCATCGTCCTTCTGCTGTCGTCATGTGGGAACAGAAGCTCACCATCAACGACGAGGTGATGGAGACGGCTGCCTTCACATTTGAAGGTGTCTCAAACCATCAGCACTGTGATTGGTCAGTGTGGCCCGTGACATTCTGCAGTGCAGAATGTGTGGTGTGTCTGGAGAACTTTGTCAGTCAGAGCTACTGATGGGTTTGCCCTGTGGCCACGCTTCCACAGCAGTGCATTGTGGTTGGCTGGCAGCAGGCAGACACTGCTGCCCAGTGTGTCGTTGGCCAGCTACAAGAAGAAACAGAGAAGCTGCAAAGAGCAGCTACTGAAAACAGACTGCAGGTTGTTTTTTGCTGTTTGTGTGTGTGTTTTGGTATTTATTTTATCTTCAATTGGACATCTCTCACCAAATTTCTATTGATCTGACGACAATTGTACAGTGTGCAAAGATAAAATCTCTCAAATAGGGGTGGCACGAGTTCGTTATCTCATTTTTTATACCTATTCACTTAAGTTTTTTATGTTCTTGTGGACTATGTTTTCTTTTACCTGTTACTTCTTAATGTTTTACAATATTGTGGCTGCACTTTATTATTTCTCAAAATTATTATATGATTCATTTCATATTGAATTTTTTATTTATTCTATTTTTATATTATTTTTGATGTTTTATTTGCTATAATTTGTGTTTTAAGTTGATGTTGCGACTACTGTCTTGTCTTATCCTGTTTATTTACGAAAATAATGGCTTGAATTTCTGTATTTATTCATGTTTTTTACAATTCATGGTATTTATTCAGGTTGTTTAACCTGAGCCAGGCCTTACCACAATGATAATCATATCACAGTCATGCAGGCGTAGTATGATATATTTTTTTAACATACTGGTATCGGATCGGTACTCGGTATCGGCCGATACCCACAGCACAAGTATCGGAATCGGTATCGGGAGGGAAAAAATGGTATCGGAACATCTCTAGTAGGCATGAAACATTAAATATTCATACCATGTTAAACCTCACTATTGGTATTTTAACTGACTGGAGAACTGAATTGATGATAATTTATCACTAATCACTCATTTGTCACTCCCCCCAGGCTCTCCTCCAGCTGCCCTATCTGGACTCTCTGTATGGATACAGTCTGAAGCTTCTTCGTTATGCTGACACCACCACACTGGCCAGCCTGGTTAGAGCTGACTGGACCTTCTACTCGTCCCACCCAGCTCTCTTCCTGTCCACCTACTTGGCCCACGGCCTGCTCGTTGACTACTTTGAGAAGAAACGTCGCTGTGGCATCAGAAGCCAAGAGGACAGCACCACCAACTTGGAGTGGCTGGCCAGTCTGTGGGACTGGTACACTTCCTACCTGCTCCACCCAATTGCATCACTGCAGCAGGTCCCGTCTGACCACTCAGACTGGGAGGATGATCCCAACTTCCTTTTTGAGCGTTTGGCTTTCCCTGATCTCTGGCTTCGCCCATTAGTAAACATAGACTACATTAAAGCCCTGCCAACTTGGAGGTTCAGAGCTGTAGGTCTGCACGGGGGGGAGGGGTCTGGTGGAAGGCTGGATGATGAGACAGATAGTTCACATTCAGACACAGAGAGCAGGGAGCAGAGAGATTCCCCTCCTGCAGGTCCCAGCAGCTGCAAAAGGCACGAGAGATCATTGTGCAATCAGGACAACAACACACAGCTCTCTGTGTACAACAACATGGACTCTGCCACTGCCGCTGCATCGTCCTTCTGCTGTCGTCATGGGAACAGAAGCTCACCATCAACCGACGAGGTGATGGAGGACGGCTGCCTCACATTTGAAGGTGTCTCAAACCATCAGCACTGTGATTGGTCAGTGTGGCCCGTTGACATTCTGCAGTGTTCAGAATGTGTGGTGTGTCTGGAGAACTTTGTCAGTCAGGAGCTACTGATGGGTTTGCCCTGTGGCCACGCCTTCCACCAGCAGTGCATTGTGGTGTGGCTGGCAGCAGGCAGACACTGCTGCCCAGTGTGTCGTTGGCCCAGCTACAAGAAGAAACAGCAGAGAGCTGCAAAGAGCAGCTCTACTGAAAACAGACTGCAGGACTGATGAGTACATCTAACTGAGCCCTTCTTATCTTCATGTCTTCTTTCTTCTCTCTCTCTGGCACCAAGCTCACTAGGCATTGAGACTGTGTCTGTTATCATCACAGCTTGCTTGGGTGAAGTCAGGACTGGGGAGGAATTAAGTAGGATACATCAGTCAGTTGGGCGGATGTTGTCATGAGCCATCAATCAGCCTGTTTCCATTCCTTTTGAAGGCAATGTTCTGGCCATCATAGCAGACAGACGGAATGATGAATGCCCAGTCAACTTGCTTTCTGAATACAGAGGATATTGATTCACAAGAAGTTGCTTACTATATCAAGTCAACTGCATCAAAATACAATTGTATAATAACACATGTACACTGTCTGCTCCACCCTGTATCATGACTGACAAATGCAAAAACCTCCATGTTTGATTTTGTATGTTAATTAGACTTTTGTTAAGAATAGAGGGAAGTCGATAGCTCTTACTGAACCCTCTCTCATAACACAAGAAACGTCAGTCAGCACAACAATGCAATTCAAATTAATCGGGTGTGAAAACTACTTCTGTTTCTGAAGGTCTTGACATGACCCCATTGACATCTCCTCACGATGTTCATTTTTACATGACTTAAGTATTTATTTTGATTATCCAGAAAGAATTTGCTTAAACCAAGTTTCTTACCCCAGCAGTGTCAATAGTTTTGACCTAATTCCTGCTCTAGTTTGTCTCTCTAGTGTAAACATGCAGCACTTGAGTTGTGATTTATAACTCAGAACCGTAACACATACTGTTAATAGCTGTTGTAAACCTTGAGGATACAAAATAAAGCCAGGTGGTCTAAGGGTCTTTTCACACAAACCAAGGTTTGCGTTTTTGATACACTGTATAAATTAGATCCAGTTTAATTTGGTTTCACATTGTAACTATGCGAGTGCATTAAACAACTGTATATAACATACCTAGATCCTGTTGTCATCACCTACATGGGCTCCCAATACTTGCAAGTGATTTCTTTGTAGACAGGCTTAATGTCAGTTCAGCAGATGGCCTTCAATTGCAGTTTGAATGAATGGACAAACATGAATGAACAGCTTCATTTTGTTTTCGCTATGATAATAATAATGTCAATTAAACATTCAATCTCCTCTTCACATGTACTACCACAGCTCATTTCGTTTTATTGCATGGTTTTTATATTTGCTCTGTCCTGATGATAGCCTGCCAGGACTTCCTGTAATTGACCCTTTTTAAGTTCCGCCCCTTTTGGCTCTGTGCTCCAATAACAGCTGACCAAGCCTCAGTAAGAACCTCGTCAACTACCTCCTTGCCTTTACTTAGATATGCTGGCTCATCTGTGTTGAAAAGACAACCACGTTTTGAAAATGGTTAAAAGATTAAAGTTTTACATTTGAAAATACTATTTGATCTGGACTGAGACCACCTCTTAACGTATGACCAAGGTTCGGCTGTTAAGCTAGACCGTGTGACAGGGCCCATAATGTGGATACAGTACCTAATCACTGAGCCATGTAAGGGCCTCTAGATCACCCTCATTGTGCGTTCCTGGTTCTAAGTAGCTTGATGTTCACTAAACCCCAGAGGATGACGGTTGCCTACCTAGAGCCGGGGTCTGCTCGAGGTTTCTGCCTTTTAAAGGTGTGTAACATTTAGGGGGATCTATTAAAATCTACAGAAATGCAATATAAATATAAAGATGTTTTTAATAGTGTATAATCACCTGAAAATAAGAACTGTGTCTTTATTACTTTAGAATGATTACATGATTATATCTAGTTTTTTTCCTTGTCCCTGTCGCAAAGTGGTAATAGTGGGAATTGTTGGGTCACTGTAAAT